TGCATACCAAAAATATAAGAGGTCCCAAAAAGGCCTATACAGTTCAGCCAGTCTTGAGGTACTGAACGGGACAAGGCCATCTGCCTATTTCAGAAGCTAGTGATATAAGTACCTGGTTTTCTGAAGTATTGAAGATTTGACCAATCCTAACATTGGAATTAGTTGGCTGTTAATGGGGCTTTACACTTCAAAAGAGAGGATAGGGTGAAACAAGTTTCTTCCAGACTAAATTAGAAATATCTATTCATGGTAAATTCTACCACCAATTCAGTTGAAAATGACTCATAGATACATCTTAATATCAGAAGTGGTATCATTAGAGTATCTTGCCTGACAAATTGCTTAACATGGATCACAGATTTTCATCCACATGCTAGCGTCACTATCCCACTAGCATCAATTTGAATAAAACTGGTGGTAAAAAAAGAACTTGGTTTAAAAGCTATCAACTTCTCTTTCCAGTACCTTCCACTGATTAATCATCAGAACTTTTACAGTTTCTAGCTTCTTCCGAATTTGAAATTGTTTGACTTTGATTTCTACTCACTCTTTCTTTTTACCTGTCTCTTTTTAGGTTAAAGAGCTCTTCAACGCTTTATGTTTCCTCTCTGTTAAGGTACTTCCACCCATAATCAACAGACCTATTGAATTTTTAATATATTACTTCATATGCTTACCAATTTATGCATTCCCCGCCCCCCCCCCCAGGTCTAAAGTTACTTGCATCTACATAAATGTTCCCTTTACATCAAACATATCCCACTGCTGTTTGCCATTATTTCACAATGAATAATTTAAGCCAACATAATTAAAATGTGATTTTTGTACACAGTCTGCTTTATCTACTTTGCATGTGAAAAATTATTTCAACTCAAAAATCTTGGCAATGAAGAGCTTCAAGATATGTATTTTTACATTGTATTTTAAAAACTTTCTACAGAACCTTTTTTTCTATAATTCATTATTGTTTTGGTAGTGTATGAATGTGATTGTCAGGGTTTGGTGTTTTTCTATACATTTTTACTGTCTAAAATTGTAAATGTTGAATTAGAGGTTCAGTGCTCCTTTTCTGAATTCATGTCAATAAAACTGTTTTTCACACAGTCAAAAGAGAGTTTTTTAAAATCTACTTTTATGCTTCTAATTTTAATGGTCTTCCTGATTATTTAGAAGGTCCTAATTACATTAAGAATAGCAACTTATTGCCTTGCTCTAGGGCAAGTCTCCTCCCTTTTCTTTTCCTTGTAATCTGATGGGGGAAAAAAAAAAAAGAATACAGTAACAACAAAACAGTGACTTCCTAGAGGACTATTATAAATCTGAATCCACTAGCTATAAATCACATAACAATCTCTGACATCTCTGATTAAGGTGCAGAAGATCCTGCCTTTTAGGTGCTTGAGTCTGAGAGAACTGTAAGAACTGAAAATGGCATCCCATTTTCCTATATCGTTCATGAGAAGAGTCAGAGTCTTTGGAACTGATGCTAAAGGAGAAAGCACACTCCACACATAAAGGCAACTATGAAGATAACATTGGCCATGGTGGCAGATGAGGTCTGAGTTTTATTTAACATGTTTGGACTATATTCCCTTTCCGATGATTAAATCAGTGAACTCCTCGCTGGGTGCAGACATTAATATTTATTTAGTGTTTTAATATTTTTACTGTCACCAGAAGTGGTAGTATTCTCTCATACTGAAACACTGAAATATTAATGTGTATTCAGCAGTGATTCAGTGATTGTCTTTTCTGAAGCAGAAACACAGAATAATTCCATCTTCTCAATTTTCCTGAAAAGAATGACATGAACTCAGTCTCTGGCATGGAAGAACAGGAAATGCAGGAGAGGGAATGCATTGCGGTAGAAGAGCCCAGGTTTCTATTCTTCATTTTTTTCATTAGGTTTCCTGAGCTATCATGCTCTCTATCAATCTCTGAAAATATAATCGCTTCAAACCCTGTTAGCCTGCCCTTTTGCCGTTCAACTTATTCTCCAAGGAAAACAAATTTATAATGAAAGTAGCACGTGAGGTAGTGCAGAGAGAAGCAGTTTGAAGGTGATCGCAAAGCACCAGAGTAACTTTTTTTTTTTTTTTTTTAAGTTGGCTCTGCTTCAGTAACATCCATGGGGCTTGTACAAATGTGTCTAGAAACTGGCACTGCTAAAATGGAGACATTTATGATGTTGGCATAAAAGATGAACAAAACCTTGAGTCTCTACAAAGGTTCAGTGGAAGTAATGGGAAGAGGTAGTAATAGGAAGCTGTTTTTCCTGGCTTGACTTGCTTTTATATTTAGTGAAACTATGGTTAAGTCCTATGTACCTGCTGTAGAAAACTAGAGTATGGTGAAGATTAATACTGCAATGTCATAGAATCATACAACGGTTATGGTTGGAAGGGACCTTGAAGATCATTTAGTTCCACCCCCCCTGCCATAGACAGGGCCACCTCCCACTAGACCAGGTTGCCCAAAGCCATGTCCAGCCTGGCCTTGAACACCTCCAGGGATGGGGCCTCAACAACCTCTCTGGGCAACCTGTTCCAGTGCCTCACCACCCTCATAGTGAAAAATTTCTTCCTAATGTGGCCAGCAGGTCAAAGGAGGTGACTCTGCCCCTCTACTCCGCCCTTGTAAGACCTCACCTGGAGTACTGCATCCAGCTCTGGAGTCCCCAGCATAAGAAGGACATGGACCTGCTGGAGTGTGTCCAGAAGAGAGCCACGAGGATGATCCGAGGGCTGGAGCACCTCTCCTGTGAGGAGAGGCTGAGAGAGCTGGGGCTGTTCAGCCTGGAGCAGAGAAGGCTCTGGGGAGATCTTATTGCGGCCTTCCAGTACCTAAAGGGGGCCTACAGGAGAGCTGGGGAAGGACTTTACTTTTTACTAGGGCATGTAGCGATAGGACAAGGGAGAAAGGCTTCAAACTGGAAGAGGGCAGGTTTAGATTAAACATTAGGAAGAAATTTTTCACTGTAAGGGTGGTGAGGCACTGGAACAGGTTGGGGGGTTGGAACCCCATGATCTTGAAGGTCCCTTCCAACCTAAACTATTCTATGATTCTATGATTCTATGATTCTGTTCCTATATGTCTTAAACTGGAATTGCCTCTGTGCTGGGACATCCTCTGTTAATACAGACTGAGAATGGAGGATCTAAAACTTTTTCCAGACAGTTTGGAGAGCTGCATCATAAGAAGAAACAGTATCTTTGTACTCGTTTCTGTGCTTCCACACAACAGTGCCCCAAAGGCATTGGTTTAGGTTTTACTGCTTTATGGACTGACTCATTGGCTGTAACTAACTTCTGCTACATGGCTGAAAAGAGAAAAAAAATAAATTCCTGTGTTGGTATACAAGAATAGAGGATATAAGAGAAGGGGAAAAAAGAACAATGGCTAAAAATGTGTGAATGCGAAGAGTATCAACAAAGGAAACTGTAGAACAAATGAAAAGAAGGACCTTTACATTACACAAAACTATATGGCATAGATTCTATACATTTCTATTAAACAATATAATAAATCTTTGGATAAGTGACATGGAAGAGTCATCCTGGCTCCAACAGGCTTAATTCTCAGAGAAGAGCTACCTTGGTGCTTACTGTTTACCAGGCTCAAGGCCTGAAGTAATCAGAGGCTACCAGAAAAAAAAAACAAAACACATAGATGTGCATGTCACAAGTGAGATTTTCCTTCTCTCTCAAAGCCTGAACTGTACTCTAAGATCATTGTTCTTATTACGCCCACAGTGCAATGTCTTCACAGAGTGACTAACTTTTCCTGTTAATTCTCTCCCTACATGACCACCACTAAAGAGTCAATGTTTGTACACACTTGGTAGCTAAAGGACATACCACAGCAATGGGACGTGCTGCATTTGAGATGTAGCAGTAAAAGAACTCCTTTCACTTTGCTGTTCCAAATTGCCAGCAGAGAGGTTTTTTTCAGGCTCTACATTTGGTTTCTTATTTTTGAAACCTCTGATGTAAAAAGTTTCTGAATTTTAGTGAGCTGTTCTATTTGTAATCTGCTTCCCTAAGGAAAGTATAGTGCACCTATGTGTCCTACAAAAACTAGGAAATGTACCATGTGTGTCAGAATAAGGTCTTCCCAATGGGAAGCATATTTAAAAATACAATTTTTCATACATATTTTTGATATTAGTCTGTCTCTGCCTAGATGAAACTTCAGAAAAGACCAAATTACCGTTTGCATACTTTTGACCCAAAAAACCCCAAACCAACATACAAAGGAAAGCACTTCAGTTGAATGGAAAGAGACAATTTTTTTTTAATCTCTTTTTCATCTCCTTTTCCTCTCCTCATGTTTTAGATTAAGAAATGCTGAGCATCTGGAAAACTGTTTTTCACTATTTTTAAAACAGAGAGAAGACCATATATATTAATTCTGAATTAAATAAAATATTAAATACAATGTACAATAATGGCCCTATTCAATTTGCTACTCACAGCTTTAACTTTCTAAACAAATATTTCATTATCTCTTCCCATTTATTACAGTTAAGGCAAACTGAAGAAATTGGAAAAAAAAAAAAGACACAAGTTTTCAGAACGATATTGCATATATTAAGGACTCTGCTTCCAATCTTAGTGAAATCTTACATTGCAACCACTGTTAGTTGCATCAACATGTTTGAAAGCAACCAAATGTCTTGCTCTTTCTTTAGCTTCTCAGTTAGAAAAAGAAATGTTATACTGGTTAAATGTGACATTAAAGTAAAGCTATAAAACCCATACAGCATTATGAAGAAATAAAATAGTTTCCTAGTCAAAATCAGTTTATTTCCAATTTTGCCACACCTTCTAGTTTGGCTCTGTATCTACTTACACCAGGACTTCTGATATTGACCTCAACAGGAAAAAAATTCGACCTCTTTCTGCCAAGTGGTCATATACAGTTTCCAGTTGCAATGTTACCCCCTGGCTTGTCAACTGGTCTGACAGAGTGGTAATTTATTTTATACTTTCTCATCATACCTTGAGAATTTTGCACATTATCTCGTAAACTGAAAATGTTTTCTCAGCTCGTGTCCAATCCCACGTTGTGACCTTGGGAAACAAACAAACAAACAAACAAACAAAACAAACAGGAAAAGAAAGTAAGTTATTTTTGTTTATTTCAAGAATTAAGTTTATTAAAAAAATAAAAACCTATCCCTAAACAATTTCCATTCAGTATATTGTACACAGAAAGACCAAGCACTGCCTCAGAGCAATAACCACCAGGGACCAGACTGTTGCATCCAGACAGTGCTTAGGAGACGTCCTGCCTTTCTCCTTTGCTGACAACACCGCACCCCTGCATGCAGGCTGCTCCTTGCTGAATGATGAGGCTTCCCCTGGGAACTGGTGGGGTTTGCATTGAGATTCTAAAAGGATTCATCCTTTGAATTTCTCTCACAGAGCCTTGACTATAAGAAGGTATGTTTCTCACTACTTCCCTCCTTGTAACTGCATGCCACAATTTGCTCCCAGTCAACTACACTGTTTGCAAATCCATAAAACCAAATTCTCCAACCTTGCAATGTCCCAGACACCCCACGTGCCTTGAATTCTATGGGAAAAAAACTAACAGGAAACAACAGAGGCAAATACACACTTTCTTTTTTTTTTGGTCTTACTAAGATTAATCTACTCCTAAATTCTAACAAACTAAGATTTGAAGAATAGTCTATTTCTCCTCTTTGTCTTTGGAACGGACAATTGCTTTTAACAGTATTAATTTTAAACAACTGTTTTACACAAAAAATTGCATAGATAAAAAAGTTCAATAAAATCTTGCAAGCGTAAGGGTTAAGACTTAAATAAGACAGAAAGGGATAGATAAATATATTCAGTAAGGGAAGAGTCAAGGGGATATCACAGCAATCTATAAATAACTTTCCAAGGATACTGTGAGAAGGAAAGAGAAGAATTATTCACAGTCTCAAAGGCAGAAGAACACACAAAACAGAATGAAAATTGAGGCTATATATGAAAAAAAAGAAGATATCTTAATGGTAAGAAGTATTGAACAGTGGCCCAGCTCCAAAGGAAGACAGTTGTATCATTACAATTGTTAGGCAAGAAAAAAAGGCTGATGAAGACAGAAGCTTAATTGGTTTTCAAGATTCAAGAATATAAAGTTATTTGAAAAATGTATCAGAAAATGGTATCCACCACATACGAATAAAATATTATGGGAGACCAATATTTATTTAAAGAGAAAAGAATCATGAACAGACAAAATATGGCTGAGAAACATGTTTTGGATTTAGGTTTAGGTTTGGATACCTAATTTTTAGGTATAAACACTATTGTAACTGAACCCCCTTTGAGGAAATCATAGTCAGGAATGGAAAGTTCAAAAATACTTTGTCAGAGTTCCTCTTCTATTAGAATTTTATTTATTTGCAGCCATCTTGAAACTTAATTTTCATTATCTTCTTGAAGTATGGGTATTAAACCAGATTTCTAAGGAAGGGTGTGACTAAATACTGACAGTCAACAAATTGACATAGAATGAGGAAGTGAAGAAATATTGGAAATATACAAGCTTTATGCCTGAGTTCTAAGAAGCTATTCAGAGATGTGGTGAATGATATGTAAAATGTTTTTGTCAATGAAAGAAAGAAAGGGAAAAAAAAATCTGCTTTTTCTTCTGTGGACAAAAAAATGGACTTTGTCACCATGAACAGATAAATGAGGAGAGAAGTCTTGCTACAGCTCCACTGAGCCCAAACCACCAGTCACACAAGGTCAAGTCTTATTGCCCCATCTGGAAAAGTAGTTACTATTGCTGCTGAAGCACAAAGCCATTCAGAGCTATGTTTAAAAGCTTACTGTAGGCTCCATACTTTAGGGAAAAATATCAGAGCTCCCCCTCCTCCCCTAGTTTCCTGATTTTGTTTGTACTTACAAAGGGACTTCTTTTCAGGTCAAAACAAAATTCTTTTGATATAAAGATTTCTGCAAAGCAAAAGCAACTGTAGAATTAAGACACCCATAGAAATTGCTTGCCCTGTTCACTTTTGAAATTTTAATTTAAAAGCTTGAGTAGCAATAGCAAAAATATTAGCAGCTCTTTCTCAATTAAAGTCCATTGTCTCTGAGATTTCCAACTAAAAACTATGAGAAAGTGAAACCCACCAGATGACACATTTAATAATTCTAAAGGAGAAAATGTATCGGGAAATAACAGAAAAAGAAAAAAGAAGTAATTTTGTTTAAAGCTTTCGACATGCAAATAAGATACATTAGAATTGTTCATTTATCTGAGCATGGAAAGCAGAAGTACTACTAATCAAACAGATAAAAAAAGAGGCAGGGGGAGGCCACTGATATACACTGTTTAAACACGTGTCCCCGTAATGTGTTAGACTTTGGCAGAGACCAGGGAAATACTTTTATTTGATTTTCTGGTGAAAAAGTTGGCAGCACATCTCTGTTCAGAAAACAGCTTAATCCAAGGAGTTTACACTGCAAATATAATTAAAACTGTTTTTCTTCTTATGACTAAACTTTGCGCATTTCATAAACAGAGGCTCTGAAACTGCAGCATTGAAAGTTTGTTAAGCTTTTGTAATCCTTGGAAGAGATAAACATATATACCTGCAGAATAGCAATCATAACTGTATGTGTAAAAGCTTGCATATAAAAAATAGGATTTTAGAAGTCCTTTTAAAAGGCCTACCGCAGTCTTTGGTAAGAAGATAATTCTGCTGGGCATATAAGTGTGCAATTATTACACATATTGCATGGTTTTAAGGTAGCTTTATAGGAAGCCTCCCTCTCTTTGTCCTTTAGAAATGTTTGTCATTCTGCTTCCCTCCTAATCCATGGAGAGAAAATATTTTTCTCTATGTTTGAATTGTCTTTCTATTTTAGAATAAGAACCAGAATCTGGTAAAGCAAAATTATATTGAGCTTGCAGCTCAGCTGAAACAAGACCTATAAAGACTTTAAGGATCGGTGGCTTGTCTCATACTACAGCAGCTTGCCAAAATTGTCCTCAGTCCCATCACCACGGTTCACAGTCCTTTTACGAACATGTTCCTCCCACACCCATTAATCATCACCCATTACCCATTTACCCACCAGCAGCATATTACTCCTGGAAACTTATGACTGAAGAGGATTGTAATTCCTTCCATAGTGCTTACAAAAGAGTAACCTTCCTCTTTTGTATTGAACAGGAGCTTTTAGCATCGTTTCTGCTTCTATCTAGTGTCTAGAATGGAGGTGGCTTTCTTTGATGGGCAGCAGATGATAAGGTAGGTATGCCAAAGCCAGGAGAGCTGCTTTTGAATTAAGGTGTTTGGCAACATGATTTGACATTTTAACCTGATCCTGAAAAATATACACCAACAAAAGCAAACTCCCATTAGTAGCCGTGGGAGAGCCAACCTCTGTACCAATGAACCAGTGTACTGACATTGAATACACTAAATTTTCAGATCATACTTACTTCCATTCTTCATGTCTTCCACATGTTCTTAAACACTTTCTTAAACAAACAGGAATAGTGACTGATGAATGATGTAAAGACTTGCAAGCTGGTGGTAGATGCCCCATCCTCGGAAACATTCAAGGTCAGGCTGGATGGGGCTCTGAGCAACCTGATCTACTTGAAGATGTCCCTGCTCATTGCAGGCAGGTGGGACTAGATGACTTTTAAAGGTCCCTTCCAACTCAAACTATTCTATGATTCTGTGATTCTATGCTTCTATGATTCAGGCAGGAAGGAGCTACAGCCTGGATCTGGCAATGCAGAGTTTAGCAGCAGTCAAAAATATCACCCAATAAACAGAACCAATGAATCCACACAACTCTCCCTGATGCTGGTATGGGACTGCTACTGGCTCCTTAGCTACTGGCTTAAAAGTTAGCTAGAGGATATCTCTGTTTACTGCAGTTTAGATGTACCATAAAACTGTGAAAGTAAATTGCTGAGTATGAGATAACAGCTAAAATTTTGCCCAGTGTTGCCAGTCAGATTCCAATTAATATATTTAACCTAAACAATTTCATTTGCTTCCCTACCTTCCTTTTGGTGCTCCCAAAAAGAATAAAAGTTACATTCAGGATGAAATCTAATTACGGAGATATTGCCATTTTCACAGCATGTAAAAAGCTTTGCTATTTCCCCAAATCTCAGCAGTTTGTCTTTAGAATGATTGTTCTGTTTAAATCTAACCATCTTGCTTCAGGCTTGTTCTGCCTGCCAAAGTAAAATGAAAAGCCCCCTTTTAGCGCAAGCAGATTTCTCTTGGATTTTTTTAAGTGCTCAGGTAAGTGGGGCAAAAGAAATTCTTGTTAGATGTCCAATCATCTGATGAACAGCTATTTTTTATCACTTTTATACCACATACCCTGGAACTTTTCAGTGCTGTAAATTGAAATCCTGTTAGCTCAATGAGTGATATATTATTGTGAAAACCTTGTACATATTACATGAAATTATTTCACTTAATAACATTTATTCCCACTAAGCATGAGAAATATACTTACTGGAGGTGCTATAAATTTATACAGGGAAGATCCCCTCAGTGCTAGAAACTTTGGTGTGTACATTCGATCCTGAAGGGAGTCTTGTTCCCGTTCTTCCGTCCAGCCCATGTAGACTATCTGACAGAAAAATCAATAGTGTTGACAAATTCCTCAGACACTTTCTTCAAATGAATTGCAAATATTTCATGCAAGTAAGCTGATGTCTGTCAAATTTTACATATCTACAAACCCTGAACCACGGACACAATATGGTGTATTGGCAGTTCACTTACAATCACGTACTTGTATAAAGGATGTGTGTTATGACAATCCAAAACCACCAGAACAAATATTTATTGTACAAGTAACAACAAAAAAAGCTAAACCACATCCTCAGTGGATGTTAAAGGTCTGTTATCTCATTAGAAGCTCCCTGAAGGAATTCTACATATTTGCTGACAGATCACGTCTGAGAAATTTAATGCAAGTGAAGTGTAAGGAACTACTAGGCAGGAATACAAAATCAAGTAACTGTTGTTACACTGCAGTGTAGATACAGTCTCCACATACAAGTTCACAATTATGCATTAAACAATATGATCTTACAAACTTTATTTCCAAATAGTGACAATCTTTTTTTTTTTTTTTTTTCCCTTCTGAAAATCCCTATGTAGGAGTTTTGAACCTCCTTTCTTAGGAATAGCAAATTAGCAGACTGTTTTCAGACACTATTTTGATCAGACCTCATCTACAGCTAAGAAGTAACCAGAATGCTGTTGACTCTTACCACTACTTGCAGATCTTCCAACATAGATGTATGAACTAGAACTTATTCAAACCTAGGATCTAATTCCCTACCTATCCAAGTTTCCCTACCTATCCAAGTTTGAGCAATTTAATATCAAATCCTTAAAGAGGAAACAGAGTATGAGTCATCGCTATGCCAACTTCTGGAGAACATCTGAACAGGGAGTAGACACAGCATGCAACTTTTGATTTATAACCATGCCATTAGTAATAAAATACAATTTCCAGTGTACACTGATACACTACTGCTACGGAAAATAGATCAACCCTTATTTCATACAGTGCTGTTAATGGAATAGATCTATTTTTAAATCTCTTTGTGAAACTGATTTCTACATTAACTAGACATGGGGCATTCTCTGTCTTAAATGTCAGTAATGAATATGTAAGGAATACAGTTTAGGAAAAATAACTACAATCATATTAATAGTCAATGAATTAGTAAGCTTACCAATGGTATAAATGAATCTAAAAAGAATGCTTGTACTGCATGTTTTATCCTTTGAGATTTTATATGTCACGTACTTTTAAAAAAGTGATTTATACAAGATTGTTTCATTACTGTTGGGAAGAGAATTTTCATCAATAGTTCTTCATGGAATATACATTAAAGTAAATGGGGGGATCTGTTTTGTTGTTGTGTTTTGTTCTTTTTTTTTTTTTTTCTTCTTTTTTTTCTGTTGGTTTGTATTTTAATACGCTGGAAATAAATGGCTTTTTCAAATCCCCATGTATGAAATCTACACTACTACTCTCCATCACAGTTTATTAGATATTTTATGGTTCATAAACAGAGGCAGGGAGAAGGTCCATTCCTCTAACACTTACTGTGAAACCTCAGCATTTAATTCTTTTGCCAATAGCAAACACCAAGACTGTAGTATAGTTTCAGGTCCAATGAATAATATGTGTTTAAGTATCTGCTGTTTTGGTGATTAAGCAAGTTTATAAAACTCAAAATGAAGACAGAGCTGTACCACAACGCTCAAGAATCAAGCAGTGTGCCCAACACTATATTGTCATGTAATAACTAAAAAAACCCATGTTCTCTGAAATCTCATTCATTCCCAAATTAAGAAATAGTCTGAAAAAAAAAACCAAACCCAACCAACTGACGGGTACAGTAAGAGAAGGTTTAAATTATTTCAATTCAATGTTTATTCAGATTTCCCTCATTTCTGCTGTTTTGTATGTTACCCAATGCAGGATAAGTATGGGTGCCCACACCTATGACTTGGTAGGAATCTGTAGAGCTCAGTGACTGAGAAGGGATACACAAAAAAGTAGTATAAAAAATTGTACAACGATGTGCAGAAGTTTGGCACTTTTTCCTCTCTGTAACTGAAAGAGAATGAATGATCTCTAATTTCTAGGAATTGAGAGATCTATGCTTTTAAATTAATTAAACTGAATTGATTTGGTTCTATCTTGATTTGTTTCATTAAAATCAGACACATAGTAAGATATCATCTTGCCTGATGATATTCAATATCACTGGAGCAGTGTATGTAATCTGTTTTCAGTTAGTGTTTTTCTCTTTCACATTCCTCATTTTTACTTCTACTATTCATCAGAATAACAGGATACAGTCAGTCATGCTGTGCAGATGTATTGGTATTTCACATTTGATTGCCTTAATACTAAAGTACCATGAAATTGCTCCTTTAGATATTTCTCCCTTGCTTCTGTAGATCATGAGGAGAAATTAGATTGATTTTTCAGACAACCTGCTGTACCAAGGTTTTATTAACAAAAAGGCATTTCTCCTTCAGACTAAATACGTACTATGAAACATACAGAAGAACTGTTAAGCAAAGGCTGTGTGATTTTAATTAGGAACATTTACAAAGTTGTTTGAGTGCATGTGCATATTCACATGCGTGGATTAAAACAGCATGGGCTAGATTCTGGAAAATAAGGCAAAACTGGACAAATACTTGGTAACTATTTTACTTATTGGTTCCTAAAGTGGTCTCAGTTTATCTAAACACACTGAACATGTGAAGTTAGATAAAGTATTGTAATTTTTACATAATGAAGCTGAGAAACCATTGAAAATTTTTCACTTATGAGATAAAATAGAGGCCATGTTCTTGAGACATTTATGTTACTGGCAAACATTTTGACATAAAAAAAGCTTTAACTATGAACAGCCTCTACAAATTTTTTTTTTTTTTGGAAAGGGATCTTATCTTTCCAAATTAATAGTTCATGTGTATATATGTATTGAAATTATGGAGGTATATGAAATTTGACTTGTGAGTTTTGGAACATATCTTAACGCTGTACATGTGGATTTGTCCCAAAATAAGGAATTTCATGAGATTCTATCTGAAAAGAAATATATACAACCACAGACACATGATGAATGGAAATAAATGTGAATCACAAATAGATAGTTCATAGCATGCCCCTTTATAAATTTAAAAACTGGGTTAGCTTTTAATCTTAGAAAAGTTTTTTTGAGCCCCTATAAACTGCTGACCGTTATCAACAAAGGTGCCGGTGGTGGGGAAAACAGATTTCACTTGTGATAGCATTCCAGTTAGTTAGAAGATAATTTTTGCAGGCCTGGTTTCTAACTTACCTGAAGCAGCTCATTCTTCAAAATCAAATGGTGACATAAATTAGTTAACTTAGTGGCTGCTGGTTCAGTAACAAAGATTCAATAAGTTATTATGGTTTATGAGTTAAATCATGTAGAGTTTAAAAAAAAACTATATCTAAATGATAAATGAAACAGGACACTTTCTTCAGTCAAAAATCCATGATCTCCTAATTTTGTATGAGCTTACATCACACAGACATCCTAATCACGCAAGATAAATTGCCATAAATTGCCATATTTCATATCAGTCCAACCTACTGCTAAAATGACTTAAATAGCCTTGACTTTCAGAGAGACTTCTCCATAATTTCACACAAATTTTTCACAAGAAAATTTCCCCAAAAGGAAATGTAAAACATATGTGACATTAAATGAGTGAGGCGATTCAAAGATCATAACAGATGTACTGGCAGCTTTTTATCTTGGAAGTCTCATATTCATACTCATATTATGTGAAACAGTGCTGTAGGGCAACAGGATAAAAACATGGAGTCAGAAGACAAAAGATGTCAGATGACACGGGAAAAATGAGGGATGAGGAACTCAGATAATGCTCTCTACCCTGGTTTTAATATAATTTTCTCTGTATGATGGTCTCAAAATTCATTATAGTCTATTGTTAGCAGAAAAACAATAAAACCACACTAAAATGTAAAAAAAAAAGTGTGATCGTAATGCAATCATTGGCAAAAACAGACCTTTATTTTAAAGGCTTAGGATTTTTATGCTGAGTAAGATTTTTTTTCAGTCAACAGAAGAACTAATCATATACAATTTTGAATGAATGCTAGAAAAAAATTGCTGTACTGTAAATACAGTAAAAATGTCTACTATCCTGTTTTCAGTTTTGTGAAAAGCCTGGTAATCTTTTCATAAATACATATATTTATTTTAAATTCCTGTGAATTATTTTCTATCTTTGTCACGAAGTCCACTAAAACAAGGCAGTCTGCATATGAAAAATAATCTTAAAGAAACAGAAGACAAATGGCAATGAAAGGTTATTTTAAATATGTTTCAGTTTAGATTTAAAATAATTTAAAGCCTCATTTGATTCATTATGTTTTGTGACAAACAAACATCAGTAATGGTCAGTATATCTAGAAAATTATGCCATTAAATTATTAATAGCAAAGTAACGGCCTTGGAAAATATCCCCTTTGACTTTTATTTCTGAACTTCAAAATTTAGAAATGAACTATTTTTGGTTTGAATTGTGGATAGACATGGTCCTGGGGATAGTCCTGCTCTAGGTGATCCTGCTTGAACAGGGAGCATGGGCAAGATGACCTCCAGAGGTTCCTTATGACCTCAACTATTCTGTGATTCTATGAAATAAGAAAAATTATGAATGTATAAAACCAGAAAATGATTGCTTGCAAAAGTTTCCCCTTCAGTTCTCCTCTGCTATATCTCCTCCTTTCTATCCCATGTGCTTTAGAGCTATCACTGACAAAGATCACCTTCATATTTTTGAACCACTTACCTACTACATACTAATAGATTAATCAATCTCTAAGCATTTCACTTATTATTGGAGATTATAAACTTATTATGGAAGATTGTAAGACTGCACATTTAGTGAATCTCATATGGCTTAATTTTCTTCTGGATAAGAACTTGTGTTGTCATCTTGTTACCAGACCAAGGCTGAGTATAGGTTTTCCATTTGCTTTAGTCCTGTTCTGTTTTTTAAATGATCACACAAAAATTAAGGACATAT